GGGGGTTGGACTAGATGACCCACAGAGGTCCCTTCCAACCCCTACTATTCTGTGATTCTGTGATTCTATGAGCTGAGTTGGAACATTCCTAATAATTATACAGCCAAAGAATTGCTTGCCCCAGCAATTACATGAACTCATGATTATAAGAACAACAGGGACTTGTGACCCACTTTTTGATCTTTGATATAAGCCAGGCACTATGATTTTCATAAGTGCATTTCTGTGTACCTTGTGTATTTGTGATACTTTTGCGAAAGAGAACCACAAACGTTGATTTTTAAAATTCCAGTTGTGAGAAATTTCACTGCAATTATTCTAGTGGTTTCCTTTCACTTAAAAAAAAATCTTTTATTTCACTTTTGGATTTAACTCGAATTTCTTCATATTAAATCCCTATATTCCCGCTGAAATTCTGATTTATATTTCTGGGGTTTGTAATCTTTCAACCATGGCATTACAGTGGGAGATCATCTTATCTGATTACCTGACATGACCTTCCAATTCCTTTTCTTTGGGAAACACTACTTTCCAGAATTATGCATTTAGGAAGCAAGGGGGAATTCCAGACATAACGATGTCCCTAGACATTCTGTAGTCATAAGTTACATTTTTATCAATCTCTGTCTTAATTATTTCATACATGATTCTAGGGTTTTAATGAAATGTTCTTCTCTAGTACCAAGAAAAACGTCTCATAAGACTCTATTATATCAGTCTGATATCTCTATTTGAAAAAGTTATAATCTCATATTAAAAAATCTAATTAGCTTAGCTGTATGTATTTGCTGTATAGAACAACATAACTGAAATTACTTTTAGTACTTTAGTAGTTTGTGTCATGGGCCAGAACTTGCTCTACTTTATGTGAAATGTCTTGTATTGATAAGCAGTAATTCAGGAATAGGAGCACAAAGCCAGGTTTCCCAGATCCCATTGTCAGGCCATTCTATGGTCTTTCTAAGGTCAGGTCATTCTAAGGATCAATGACCCTGAGTTTCTTCTTTAGTGTGGATATGTTTTCAAGAGGTTCTTGTTGTTTATTTTAAATGGGAATTCTCATGTTCTGGGAACTGAAGTTGAAAGTTCATTCTGTTTGGGAAAAAACTTCTTTGGACGATATTTATTTTGCTTTCTCCTGCAACAGGCTGCCTGTTTCCGCTTTCACATATGTAACAAGGAAATCATTAATAAAACCACTCCATGGGATATTTTAAAGCAATTTCTTCTGTGATTTTACTCGTAAGTCTATTTTTTCCAACTTCTTATAGCACAGGAGTTATGACTTTTTAGGTGAATTACATATTGCTTAGAACGTTATAACACTTCAGCTATTCTGTGTTTTATGAAAAAACTTGGATGTGTTTCAGTGCTATATTTCTAATCCCTTTATCGGTCTTGTTTTGGGTTTTTTTGTTGCTGATTTTTGCCTCTAAAATAATATTAGTTTTAGATGAAAGTTTATAGTCTTCTCCTAGGAAACCATTTCTAGAAACTTTAAAAATATCTCACTAGTTCCACATAACCAACATTTCCCCTGATTACTTTGGAGCCTTGTCCCTTGCACTTCTGTAGGAGAAAGGAAGCACATAATTATTATAATTAAGTTCAGCAGAGAGGAACCTGATGAGGTTCAACAAAGGCAAATGCAGCGTCCTGCACCTGGGAAGGAACAACCCCATGCACCAGTACAGGCTTGGGGCAGACCTGCTGGAGAGCAGCTCTGTGGAGAGGGACCTGGGTGTCCTGGTGGATGACAGGTTGACCATGAGCCAGCAGTGTGCCCTGGCTGCCAAGAAAGCTAATGGGATCCTGGGATGCATTAGGAGGAGTGTGGCCAGCAGGTCGAGGGAGGTTCTCCTTCCCCTCTACACTGCCCTAGTGAGGACTCATCTGGAGGCCTC